TTCTTGAAAAATTTATTCACTTTATTGTTTGAGTAAAAATCCATCGCTTTGTCATCAGAATTAACAATCAGACCTTCATCTTTTGATCCATCATTCTCAGCTGACTCAACCTCAACTTCTCTAACTGTCACCTTCGACATCAACGCTAGAGGACCACCCAAACTCATTTTTGTTTTCAAGCAATTTCATTGATCTCACTTTCACGAGCCTTCAAAACATTGTATAGATCACCAAGAGAAAAGTTGTCAAAACTTTGTTGTGTCTTAATCATCAGACTGATATTACGCCATTCTTTACGAAGACCCATCAGAAAAGTCAAGTTGAATTCAAGGGTTGTACGATTGACTCCATATCGACTGCATTTGAAGATAATTCATTTAGACGATCATAGTAGAGTTCAATATTCTCACCTTCTTTCTGTTTAAATTCTCCTAACTCAAGCAGACACTACTTAACAAAACTTTTCTTCATCTTCTCGCTCCATTGATACTTATCTTTCAAAGTATCCCTAATTTCTTTAGCAGATTTGCAACCACAAACATAGTTGTATACTACCAGTGGAAGGGCACCGCATAGTTCTCTCAAACATCGTTTATCATTTGCTTTGTATTTTTCAGTTTGAGTAGTAACATCTGCAAAAGAACCAACATTTCCGATTTCAGCAAGCATCGATGGACGAAAGTTTCCACTCTTGACACACCGCCATAGATCTTCATCAATCCCAGTCAGATAATCTTCCATCCTATCAATCCATTGATCATAGTACTCAGGAATCAACATAGGAATTTTGGTTGAATAACCAAAAATATGAGAAAATCCAGTCATCGTGTTCATATTGAAGTTCGCCATTGTTGTACGGACTTGAAAAATGAAAAGCTTAAAAAATTGGAATTTGAGGAATGAATCTTTCAAAATTCAAACACAAAACACTCGATTTAACAAAAAAAAACATAATTGAATCAATACAGATGATCTGAAAAGATTTTCAGAATCAAAAGTGCAGAATATTTGAATCTAAAAAGAGATTCAAAAACTTTTGAGAACTCGAGAAAATCTGAAATCAACTGTAAGAATCTTGCTCTGATACCAAATATAGTTCGTATTGATTGAGTACACGAAATGAAATCATAATTTGAATTGAATCTAGAACACAAGAAGTAAATATAATCTAGATTGCTCAATTATACTTCTGAAAGATACAAGAGAGTCTTTAGAGTAAGAACACGAAGTACCAAAGTTACTCTATCCCTAGCATCTATCCCTATTTAATGGAATGATAGAAGTAAGCAAAAAGTACATAATGGCTAAATCTAATATGCTACGACATACAAAAGTGACCTTATGAAATACATACAATGAACACTGCATTACATACTTCAAATCCTATCAAGCTACAACATACTTCGACACCTCACAACAACTATTCGAACTCAACAATAACTTTAACTTCTTGTCGGGGAACGTCAACATAACAACCACCCACGTCATTAAGATTTGTACCAACATCATCATCACCAACGTATTTGTAATTTTCAGAATCCACATAGTGAATAGGTGAATACCTCACATTAATATTTTCAGCAACACTATGAAATTGAGGTACATTAGGGATGTCGACAGGACCAAACGTGAGCGGAAATAACTGCCCCTCCCCCTGATCCTCTGTTCACATAGCCCCCGATCCCATCCCTGAATACATTTATTACCCCCGATCCCACCCCCGTTCCCTGTTTTATAAGCTTAAATTGACTTTTTTGCTAAAAAAAACCTGCTGAATAGAATTCAGCAACATCAAATAACACAACAAACATTGGATTTAACAAATCAACAACATAGATAACAAATCAACAACATCTCTTTCGAAAAAACAAATCAGCAACATCACAAAAAAAATATATGTTAATCATTCAACAAAAATCAGATTCAACAACACATGGAACCACATCGAATTCGGATGACATTAAAATCACAGATAACAAAACATTCTCCAACATCAAAACAAACCATACAAGTTCGGTGAAGTGTGAACTGTGAAAGAATCAAACCCAAACATTCATATGATATATTGTTAAAAGAAGTAAAATAAAACATTAAGCTGGAATGTAATGTAATCGACAAAATCATAAATCAAAATGTAAATGACAAAGACAAAATGTAGTCTCAGTGGTACCAAAAATCGACAATCACTAAAATGGAAGAAAGATCGAGATGATTTAAACTTCACAGAGGAAAATCGGGCTTTAATGTACCGGGAAACCATGTCGGCTGTCAACATCGACACTCGGCAGGCGGAAGGCAACTGGAGACGTGGAAGACGATCGGAGACGATGAAGATGACCAAAGGTGGCGAAGACGCACAAGCGATCGGGTAACGACGAAGCTGATGAGTCGGTGAAGCTAAAGACCGATGTGTCTATACTCGAGCGGTAAATCATGCTTTGGATGTTGGCTCTTGTTCGAAGTCGGTGATGCCCATAGATGCTCAGAAAGTCAATTGGAAGTTAGAACTTAAAAAATAGAAACCCTAAAATAATTATATATAATATATATATATATAATATATATATATATCTATATATATATTATATTATATATATATCTATATATATATATATATTAAATATTAAATATTAAATACAAACGGGGCCCCCGCTGGAGTACGGTACGAAAATACCCACTCCTGACCCCGATTCAGAAATTAAAACGGGGGTTAATCCTGCCCCCGCTCCCGATTTTTTTTTTTTAAATTAGTCCCGTATGGAATCGGAGTCCCGCGGGAACGGGGTCCCATAGAAGTTTTTGACATCCCTACTAGGAGTCATGAAAGAATCTATTGGTTTGTTGCTCCCTTTATCGCTACATAAGTTAGCAACCGACTCATTTCCACTCTCGCCACCCTCCGTAACCGTATCACCTTCATCAACCACCACAAAGACTTTCACAACCATTCCTCCAATCGATTTGATTACGTTAATCAACATTCTAACATCCATGTCTTCAACCATGTCTATATAATGATTCAATTCAGGATGATGGAAACGAAGATTAATTTTATATATGTTTAATAAACCGATTTTCATTCTCACCAAAGATGTAAAATCACTATAACTAATATACTCGGAAAATATCAAAGCGAATTCAGAAATACCTCCTTGTGGACATACGTATTCATGATTTGTTTCCACAACTTTCCACCTCCCACCGGTTATAACGCAAACCAAATATTCATTCATTTTATTAGAGATGTTTTAAACAAATTTTCCAAAAAAATAACAACTAAACTGATAATTTGTTGCAAAACTTTATATATAATATGATTGTTTTGTAGTCAAACCCTATCAATTTCACATTCAAAATAAATAAATAAATAAATAAATTGCACAAAATCGCAGGTGGATAGTAGAGGAAATTGCAGATGAACTTAGTTCATCTGCGATTTTAGTGTGAGGTTGCAAGTATTTATGCGGGAAAAAGGTGAAAAAACTAAAAAAAAACCACCTGTGAACGTACAAGTCACTAAAGCGTACCCCTGCTTTAGCGACTTGTACGTTCATAGATGGAAAGGTAAAATCGCAGATAGGCTTAATCACTCTGGGATTTTGATGACTATTTTTATAATTTGGGTTTTTTGCTATTCTCTACAAAGTAATTAAGGGTTTAGTCTATTTTTGTAATTTTCTCTAAAAGTAACCCTTTGTTGAATGTTCCTTTGAGATATCATAGAACATGTAAAACAACATCATAACGGCATTGTGATGGAGTTTGATTAAACTTGTTGAGGTACTGAAAAAACTATACCAAGCCTCGTATGAATTAAGAAATTCAATTTGCCAATTAACTGAATGTAAACGGCGGGATCTTGTAACAACCTTTCCGTATTGGAATTGAATGTCACTTTTGATGGTAGATACATTTAGACAGGAACACAATCGTCCAAATAATATGAATGTAAAAATTCCTTGATGTATTTTTGTTGATGAACAACCATGCCATTTGACATGCTGTTAAACTCTAGTCCCAAAAAAACAATGAATTTGTCCCAATTCCTTTATTTGAAATTGAGTATCAAGGGATGATTTAATGGTTGTAATTTCCTCTCCATCTTTCCTTATAACTAGAATGTCATCAACATATACAATAATAATCACCTTTTTATGAAGTAGATTGATAAATCATTTGAGTTTTGAGAAATTAAATATAGTTGTTGTTGTCAAGGTATTGTTAGATTGATCATACCTTTTATTCAACAATGTTTTTATCAAAGGAATTGAGAATCCAACTTATAGCCATCAAATTAGCGTGATGTCATCCAAAATATGTAGGAGAATCACTGGATGGTGGACAGATGGTGCCATCAACAAAGGAGAGTTTGTTTTTGGTCGAAAGAGATGATCATAGATCTCTTCCATGTAAAGAAGCGAACACCATCGAAGATAGAGGTAACAAGAACTTGACTCGGGTTATTAGAAGATCCAAGATACTAAGGACTAGTGATATCGATGACCAGTGTTTGAGGAGATTATTAAGATGATGAAGTCATTGGAACAAAGAAATTGAAAGGAATTGAAAAAAACTTAGTGAAATTTATGGAAGAAGATGAATGATCAAACTGATACTATGTTAGATTGAGAGAAGATCGAGTGATGATTGAAGTTTTTTCATATATGAGTTCATTCTTATCATTGAAACAATTAATGACTCATTACGAGTAACTAACTAACTATCCTCTTAACAAACATATAGCTAAATTATATGAATGCCCTCAATAGTACAAAAAAACGATTCTATCCTTACAGTTAAGCTTGTTAAAACTGACAATATGAGATTTCTTGAGACCTATGCCAATTAGGGCGCCGAAATGAATTAATCAAATCAGGAGGAATGAAATGGTCATGTTGCGAAAGATTCAGCAAAATGGATTTCCCGCCAACTTATCGGCCATTCCCGCGATATTTCTGATGTGGTCACATTTTTTTTGAAGCCACTCCCGCCGGGTTCCACTCTTCTTTAGCCGCCTCCCACAGCCTCCGATTCAAAACAAAACCCTAACGCCGAAAAAACATTAGCTCAGAAGAAGGTTTGGCAATGGAAGCAGGTCTCGGATCTCGGAAACGGAAGCATCAGTCATTGAAATCCGGTGGCATTTTCACTCGAAGCAACTCGCAGATTTATGTTCGCCGACGCAGATCTGGTTACGCTCGAGCCGACTCCGTTCGAACCAGTAATCCTATCTTGTCGCTTGAAGCGACAACGAACTCACCGATGGACCAAGATCCGTGGGGATGCACGGCTCATCCAATTACAAGTGAAGTCTTAGTCAAGGATCTTCGCGTGAGGAGGATATTTTCTCCTATGACGGTTCCAGAAGAGGATTTAAGTGTCGGAGCAGTCGATTTGAAAGCAGATTTTGATGTTCGTAAGACGAATGATGGAAACCCCAACGTGTCTTCTTCTGAAGGTGATCCTGGTCATTGTGATTTGGGGGTTTCTAGCTCTGTTGTCATCGATCCGAAGCCTAGATTGCAAAATATTGTGGATTCTTTTCTGGTAAGCGAGAACAATGTAATGGAAGCTGATGCGTTTGTTAAGACGCCACCAAGAGTCTCAGATTCCGACCAAAACAATGTCGCTGCCGAAAATAATGGTGTCATTTCTATTCCAAACGAAGTCGGCCAATCATCGGTAAGAGAAGATTAACTGATATGATTTTACGTAATTGTTACTTCTTTCATATCCATGACAACTGCAAATCCATTACATGTTTTCATCTAACTAATGCTGTTTATTATACGATTATTAACTATATAATGATTATCGCTTTGTGTAATCAAATGACAGCTGACGAGTTCGCGTAGCAAGAAGAAGGTGTTCATAAATAGGGGCTCATATAATAGCTATAGAAGGTTGCTCCCTTATCTAACGGACATAGGAACAGATGGTACATATGCAACTCAATTGCTTCTTTATCTATACATTCACATATCAATCTCTTGTGTTATCCCACTAGCGTCTGCTAATTCTCTTCATTCATTTCCTTCAGATTCTCCAAGTTTCGAGATAGTTGAGGCCACAATGACCAAACAACAGAAATCAAGTACCATTGTTCCTAACATGGTTGCCTATAAAGATAAAGATATCGATACAGTATCCAATCTTGACAGTTTGGCAGATTGTGCATTTAAAAGCCAGGAAGATGCTGTCAGTGACACATTGGATGAGTGTGAGCAGACGACACCACCAGATTCAATATCAGCATCCAAGATGGTAATGTTCAGTCTTCATTTTTCTACTATGATTGCTTTCAGTTTCATGTTTTATTTAAAGGTTCCTGATTTGGATCTTGATGGCTGAATGCTGATCTTCTCCTACTTGTGTATTTTTTGTTCTATGTTAGGCACTTAAACAATCTTCTAGAATGAAGATGCTGCAAACTCCAACATCATTTAGTCATAGAAGATTGCTTCCATACTTGATGAGTGTTTCAGAACCTGAGAAAACCTCAGAGGAAAACCAACAGAATATTAGTATCTCCTTACAATCAACCACTGTAAATGAGAAATCAGATTCTCCTATTCCTACTTTGACTCCAGTCAAAGCACCATTTGAAAGCATAACAACAATTACTCCAGTTTCAAATGACAATCTTGTGGATACTCATGGACCAGATACAAAGTTGACCGAGTCAACTTCACATTCAGAGATGAAATTACAAGCTGAAGCTGACAGTTTGATGAAGCTGGAACATGAATCACCTATTAAAGATCTGAAATTAGTCGAAGTAACAACTTCTAATCTTGAAATTGTGCCAAGTGTTGATACAAATGACAATCAGAAGGCAGTTAATGGAAGCACACATGAATCTTTATTGCAGATTGCACCACTAAATTCTCCCCTAATTAATCGGGATAGAAATGGGATTTTGAAAAGAACCCCAAGAGGATGCAGAGGGATTTGCAACTGTTTGAATTGCACATCTTTTCGTCTGCATGCAGAAAGATCATTTGAGTTTTCAAGAAACCAAATGCATGATGCTGAAGAGGTTGCATTGGAGCTCATCAATGACATGAATTCTCTCAGGAACATTCTGGAAAGAACTGGTGGTGATTCTAATGAGGTATTACATCATCTTTTCAAGACTCCTTTCATTCATTTGTTTATTACATCATTCCATTTAACATTATACTTTCAACTTATTTGTTATTAGGTGAAAGAAGTGTTTGCAAAAGCTTTGTATAAGGAAGAAGTAGCAAGGGCAAAATTGGCACAAATGAATGAAGATTTAAGTAATCAATGTAGAAGCATGGGAAAGTAAAAAACATTCATTTCTTTCTCTTCTTACTATGAAAAAAATAAATAATGAAACATTGCATTGTACTCATTTCCATGATCTCTTGTTTCTTGGAGTAGATAGTTTTGCATTGTAGTCATAGTTTTATAGTAAACCAATCATTGTATGTTGTTATATTAATGATGGTTTGTTTATACTAAAGAATATCAAGTAGAATAGCCATAAATACAAATGAGCAGTTGATGATATTCTTATCTTTGTGTTTGATTTTTCTTATTAGGAATAAATTATTGTTAATAACATATGAAGATCATAATTAACAACTATCAGTAGTATGCAATGAAAAAGGTTAAATGTGATGGTAGTTTTGGTTTTATAATCATAACGTTCATTTTCGTTGTCAATGAAAGACATCCAATTTTGACAATTTATTCCCATGTCCATCCCGTTGATCTTTTATGATTTGTTATAGCAGTTTACAGTGGTTACAATAGAAAATTGTCATAATTTAGTGGAATGTTTAGTGTCAAAATATTATTAAAGCTAATAAAACTATTACAAAATTTTATTTTGTGACTACTTTAATTTCTTATGGGATGTCAAAACCAGTAAGAGCTGTCGACATAGAAAAAATTGTAAAACTTGGGATGTCTTCATTGGTGAAATTGAAATATAATAGATTGAAAATGATTAAAATATAATGGTTTTTATGTAATTTGCCCTTTGTAAAACCAACTATTTCTAAACAATTTGGAAAAGTTGGTGAATTTGTCATTTTTAGTTCTCAGTTGAAAATTTCGAAACAGGTTTGGTTATACATGAGTTTTCATTTTCAATTTTAAAATAATGAAAAATGTGTTTTGGATGTATATTTTTATCAGGTTTATTATTATTATTATTATTATTATTATTTATTTATTATTCTTTTTTGTTGTTTTAAATATATAATATTTAACATAATTATACATAAAGTGAAACAAAAAATTAATATAAGAATCAATATATATATATATATATATATATATTATATATATATATATATATATATATATAAGCTTAGGTTATTCTATTCAAAGTAATTATTGTGTTATTGTATGCATAAATATGGGTTAATCATTTTACTTATTTTAAGAAAGTGATTAATATATATTATTAAATTAAAGATAATTGAAAAATACCATCTAATTTCATTCTAAGGGTATTTTAGACAATTGAGATAAATTTAAAAAAGGAAAATTTCATATTTTTTGGGATAATTAACTCTCTTGATTTTAAAATTCTAATTTTTTTAATTACTTTAATTTTAATTATAACGTAATTTTTATAATTAAACCCGATTTTATTCTGTTAGAATGACATTCTTTTTATAATGATATTCTATTAAAATACAAGTCATAAACTAATAAAGAGACTTACTTCTCGCAGAATAAACAAATTTTTAGATACAAGTTAAATTTTTTCTATCACATCCTTGAAAAAATAAAAAACTTTACATGATAAAATGAAAAAGATTATTCTATTGGAATATACTATTACATATACTCTTATCATTCTATTATAGATTAATCTAACAGAATATAACAATGAGTAGTACATTTTTCTGGAAGATCGGTGACCATTGAGGATTGTTCATGTCTATCCCACACGCATTCATCCAACCTTCGGGTCATTGATCATCATGTACTTCATTCATTCTATGAGAATAACTGTCATGAAAATGAATTATGTAAAAATAAAACTATGTGAGAATGCTTTTATACGACAAAAATAAAACAAATTTTAGTAATTATAAGAGAACTCATACAACATGATAAAATCAAGTAACACAAATAACGAACTCATAAATTATTTTTGTGTTCTTCAAGAATTTGAACATCAAGTTCTCTTTCAGACATTTCTACAAACACCTGGTGTGCAATATTCTCATAGAGTTCTCCCATCTTTGGTTTCCAACTCCACTAACAAAAACAAGTAATAAACATCAGATGTATAGATATTTGATTTGAACAATTTAGATACGAAACACTATAACAGGAAATTTTGAAAATAACTTTCATAACACAAAGCACCATTAGAATTGTTGGAATCGACCACACATATTGAAACATCCCAAAAATACAACCCAAAAATTTTTGTTTTAACATTAACTAAAAACGTAATTTCGAATATCATATAATCAAGCCATGTGTCGTGTATCTCAAAAAGTCATAACAATATATCAAATCAAAACTGATGTCATGAACATGTGGAAAATATCTGAATAAAACTCCCAGGGTAAACTGAAGCTGTGGTGTGTGCCATGCCATCATCCCGAGCTCTTCCCCTTACTAGCGAAAGTACCTGAAACTAAAAACTGAAGCTGTAAGTACAAAGCTTAGTGAGTTCCCCCAATCTACCACATATCATACAATAACATATAAAACAACTACTGGGCCTTGCCTACTGCATCAGACCGAAGTCCGAAAACTGCATCGGACCGAAGCCCGGAAACTGCATCGGACCGAAGTCCGGAACTAACCAGGGCCTTGCCCTCTGCATCGGACCGAAGTCCGGAAACTGCATCGGACCGAAGTCCGGAACTATCCAGGGCCTTGCCCTCTGCATCGGACCGAAGTCCGGAAACTAACTGAACATAACATATCATAATCATAACTACTAGCATAAAACACATATATCGCATACTGCATCGGACCGAAGTCCGGAACACATAACACAAAACATGCTTGAATCACAAAGACATCAAGCACACTGAACTACTGCATCGGACCGAAGTCCGGAAACTACTGCTAAGTAAACGGGCCGGCATTGTGGCCGTAGACCCGTTCCTACTGGAAGGAAACTCACCTCGTAACGCTGGCTGCTGAGGTGCTAAATCTGAAACTGTCCGACTGCTGCTCCGGAACTCCCCGGCTACAAATCCCATAAACACTAAATTAGATACTGATAACTACTCTCAGGGTAAAATGACTATTTTACCCCTGGTCAAAGTCAACTTCCTGGTCAAAGTCAACTTCCTGGTAAAAGTCAACTGTCAGTTGACCTGACTCGTCGAGTTGGGCCGTCAACTCGCCGAGTCCCTATCCTTTCTTCCAAATCTCTATACGCTTCTACTCGCCGAGTTTTTGCACCGACTAGACGAGTTCTTACTCAATACTAACACTGAGTCCGTCTTCATCTGACTCGCCGAGTTGTATGAACAACTCGTCGAGTCCTCCTTCATCCTATGAACGTGTCCAGACTACGACTCGCCGAGTTGTATGAACAACTCGTCGAGTCTGTTCTTGTGGGTAAGAAGATTGCCTTGGACTCGCCGAGCCAGGGCGTTGACTCGCCGAGTCCCTCCATTACTAGATCTGTGACTCAACTCACCGAGTCCAATACCCACTCACTGATTCCACTCCTAAACTCTCAACGGGGAAAAAAATCGGGGACTCGCGACCCGACTCGCCGAGTCTGAAGAACAACTCGCCGAGTCCCATGCATGCCATTTTTATACAGACGATTTTGCTCGATTCCAATGCATCTAAAAGATAGATCTGGGCTCCTAGGGTTGGTTTTACTCGTAAAGTTTCCAACTTTACGTGCATGCATGACATTATGAAGCTAAAATACCCAAAATGAGCTAAAAGGGGAGATCTAGGTTTGGAATGGGATTTTAGCTCAACAAAGGTGGCAACCTTGAGCTTAAGGAACTCTGAGATGCTTAGATCTGAAGCCCATTCATCTTAACTAACCTTAAATCGACCTCAAAGTCTAGAAATGGCTCAACAACAACAATAGCAAGCTTATAAGGAGATCTAAGAGATAATAAGCAAAGATTCGAGCTTTATACCTCAATGGAAACTGAAATGACACCAGAAACTCGGATCTTCTTTGCTCCTCTTGAAAGCTCCTCCCCTCTCTTCTTCTTCTAACTACAATATGCACCAAAATCCTTCACAAGGTGAGAAACACTCCAAAAATGCACAAGGGAAGGCTAGGGTTTAGCAAGGGACGTTCTGAGGGTGATGGAGGCTGGTTAGGGCGCATAAAGTTGTTTAAATAGGGTGCAAACCCTTGAAATTAGGGTTTCATCCAGACTGGCAGACTTGCCGAGTCCGAGAATATGGACTCGTCGAGTCGCCAACTTAAACCGCGTGTAAATCCCGTCTCTACTCATCGAGTCGGGCTACTGACTCGTCGAGTACCCCTTAAGAAATGAAAATTGCTTTATTTAAATCACATACCAGAAATGGGGCGTTACACATATTATCCACGGTTCTAGATAACAACGAACATAATATAACTCACTCCAGTGTTTAGCACCTCGAACTTTCTCATCATTAACATATGGTCACAGTTTCCTAGGGTTTTGAAATCGTTGCATAATCAAATTGATCTCTGCATTTGCCATTATTTAATATTACAACAATCAATTAGTCATTATCAGGACCGAATTTCCTCAACTAATAAACTATAGTGAAATGAAACACAGGCATGTTGATAGATAGATTACATCAACAACGATAATTAAGAGGAAGAAAAGTAAACCGAGATTTAAAATTACGAGATATCGGAAGTACTGAAGCACCAGAGGATGAAGAAGCACAACATAACGACAAGAGGAATAGATGAATCCGTTTCTATTTAACTACTGATCTCGTGCTCCAGCTCTGACTCTCTCTCCGGCCAATGGTGGAAGCAGGATTGTAGATGGGAAGCTCGCCGGTGATGTCTGTCGCAGACATCGACCTCTTCCGCCATGATCGCCCCTGGATCGGTGTTGTCCCGATGCTTCTTCCCTCTGCACCTCCTCGCGATTTCCCAACTATCACAGAAGCTCCGTCGACATGCCTTGTTCCGTCGTTTCTGTCTAGGGATTTAAAGTTGTAAATGTAAAAGGTTTTGCCTAAAATAAAGGGTTTATGATTTGAATAATTAATTACCAAAATTAATTAAAAGCTAAGATTACAATTTTAGCCCTATCCAGGTTTTTAAAATGATTAGTCCACATTTATGCATACAATAACACAATAATTACTTTAAACACCTGAACTCTCTCACTCACTCTCTCTCTCTCTCTCTATATATATATA